TCTTCCTGTTGTTCTCCCCTAAAGTCCTATGCAGCAAATACTGTTGTTCTCCCTAAAGTCCCTCTTCAACTCTCACACATATCTCTCCTTCTGTCATTCATCCCATAAGTCTCAATGAGAAAAAGTCTTCAACTCTCCAATATCTCCTCCTGTTGTTCTCTCCTAAAAGTCTCCTATGAGAAAAGTCTTCAAACACTCTCATATTTCTCCTGTTGTTCTCCTAAAGTCTATGAGAAAAGTCTTCAACTCTCCATAATATCCTGTTGTTCTCCCTAAGTCCTATGAGAATGTCTTCAAACTCTCCATATCCTCAAAGTCCAAATACCCTAAAGTCCTATGGGAAAATTTCACTCTCCATATTCTCCTGTTGTGTTCTCCCCTAAAAGTCCATAACTTCAACTCTCCATATTTCCTCTGTTGTCAACCTCCCTAAAGTCTATGAGAAATTTCATCTCTCATATCTCTCCTGTTGTTCTAAAGTCCTATGAGAAAATCTTAACTCTCCATATTTCTCTCCTGTTGTTCTCCCCTAAGTCCTATGAGATCTTCCAACTCTCCATATCTCTCCTGTTGTTCTCCCATAAAGTCCTATGAGAAAATCTTCAACTCTATATCTCCCTGTTGTTCTCCCTAAAGTCCCTATGAGAAAGTCTTCAACCCCTCCCCACCTATTTCTCCTGTATGTTACTCCCCCCTAAAAAGTCTATAGAAAGTCTTCAACTCTCCACTACTCTCCTGCTTGTTCTCCCTAAAGTCCGACACAGTAGCTATCATAACTCTCCATATTTCTCTTTCATGTCTGTTCCTCCTAACAGTCCTAATGAGAAAATCCTTACAACCTCCATTTTCTCTCCTGATTGATTTTCTCTAAGTGCCTAAAAAGTTGCCTTATGAGCAATGTCTTCAACTCTCCTATAGTCTCTCGTGATTGTTCTCCTCGCAAAAGTACCTATTGAGAAAAAGTCTATCAAGCATACTCTAAAAAACTTGTTCACTCACTCCTCCTGTGTCTCTCCTTCCTCTAAAAGTCCTTATGAGAGATCTTAACTACGTCTCCATCACTTCTCCTTTTTCTCCTGAAAAACGTACTTGAGAAAGACTTCCTCTTGGCCATACTCACATATATGATGTTCTCCCTACAAGTCTATGCAAAAGATCTCTGTTCAACTCTAACCATCACAACTTCCACTTCATTCTCTCTCCTGTGGATCTATACGCCCGCTAACCCACAGTCCTATTAGAGAAAATGAATCCAATCTCCATATCTCTCCTGTTTCTCCTAAAGCTACCCATCGCAGAAATCTCTCAATCTCTCCATATTTTTCTCTGTTGTCTCTCCCTAAACTCGTCCTATGAGAATGTCTACACTCTCCATATCTCACCTGTTGTCCTCTACCACAAAAGTCACTAACTTTAGACCAAACTCTACCTCTCTTTAATGATCTAATGGCTGTTTTCACCGCAACGTATCTCATTTCGTCCATTCAAAGGAACACCGATGAATGACCATCTGTTCTCAATTTCTCTCTCTCTCTTCTCTCCTCATCACGCCGAGTGCAGTGAGGGATAACTGTTCACCTGCATGGGGCCGACGTCTGCATCCCTGAACACTGGATCTGCGACTCTTACTACGACTGTCCTGGCGGCGAAGACGAGGCCGACTGCTGTAAGGATCTTAAATTTTCCGATCATAATGTCCCAAACTTGTGTGGACACGCTGTCAAGGATCGCAACTCTCTCATTGCTTATTACACAGTTCATTAGTCATTAAGGCCTATAAAGAAGAGACCTGCACACAGTACTTTGCTCCGAAACTCAATCTCCGTGTGATCTTTTCTGGAGAATAGAATTTAGAGTCACACACTAAACACGCCCCTATCACAAAATTACATTAGTGACTAAAAAAATCCTGAGTTATCGACACAGAACAATTGTTCCGACAAGCATCATTCCGATACTTCTCTCGGACATATAGAATTACTAGACTACCACACGCCTCTCACACACAGCTTCATACTCACTCGTAGGTACCTAAAAGACAAGGATCTACGGACATTTGTTCCGAAACATCAATCTCCAGTCTTCCTGGAAAAGAGAATTTCAGATACCAAACAAAACAAAAGAATACCTCATCCCCAACTAAAAAACACTTATACATATCATAGTCATGATCATTAGAGCCTAAGCACACATGCGAAATAACTTCGTCCGAACACTCAATATACCCGCTCTTCTGGGGGAAAAAAACAGAAATCAGATACACAACGCCCTAACAAGTCATATCATTAAGGACTACAAAAGCAGGGAGATACGAACAGAACTTTGTCCGAAAACATCAATAACGATACATATGGAAGATATTAGAACAAACGATACCACACTTACAAGTCATTCATTAGGCTAAAAGCAGGAGATGGCGAACAGAACTTGTCCGAAAACTCAATTAGCGCCGTTCCGTGGAAAAGAATTTAGATACCAAACACCCCTTACAAGTCATTCATTAGGCTAAAAGCAGAGATGCGAACAGTACTTGTCCGAAACCTCAATTCCGTCTTCCTGGAAAGAATTCAGATACCACACGCCCTTACAAGTCATTCATTAGGCTAAAAGCAGAGATGCGAACATAACTTGTCCGAAACATCAATTCCGTCTTCCTGGGAAAAAAAAAAAATCAGATACCACACATCCTTACAAGTCATTCATTAGGCTAAAAGCAGAGATACGAACAGAACTTGTCCGAAACCTCAATTCCGTCTTCCTGGAAAGAATACAGATATGCCCTTACAAGTCATTCATTAGGCTAAAAGCAGAGATACGAACAGAACTTGTCCGAAACATCAATTCCGTCTTCCTGGAAAGAATTCAGATACCACACGCCCTTACAAGTCATTCATTAGGCTAAAAGCAGAGATGCGAACATAACTTGTCCGAAACATCAATTCCGTCTTCCTGGGAAAAAAAAAATCAGATACCACACATCCTTACAAGTCATTCATTAGGCTAAAAGCAGGGATACGAACAGAACTTGTCCGAAACATCAATTCCGTCTTCCTGGGAAAAAATAAAATCAGATACCACACATCCTTACAAGTCATTCATTAGGCTAAAAGCAGGATACGAACAGAACTTGTCCGAAACATCAATTCCGTCTTCCTGTGGGGAAAAAATCAGATACCACACACCCTTACAAGTCATTCATTAGGCTAAAAGCAGAGATGCGAACAGAACTTGTCCGAAACATCAATTCCGTCTTCCTGGAAAAAAATCAGATACTACACACTCTTACAAGTCATTCATTAGGCTAAAAGCAGAGATCCGAACAGAACTTGTCCGAAACATCAATTCCGTCTTCCTGGAAAAAAAAATCAGATACCACACATCCTTACAAGTCATTCATTAGGCTAAAAGCAGGGATACGAACAGAACTTGTCCGAAACATCAATTCCGTCTTCCTGGAAAGAATTCAGATACCACACACTCTTACAAGTCATTCATTAGGCTAAAAAGCAGAGATACGAACAGAACTTGTCCGAAAAACATCATTCCGTCTTCCTGGAAAGAATTCAGATACCACACGGCCCTTATTGCAGCGGCTACAAGCGCCCCTGGCTGCGACGAAGGGTATTTCGAATGCAAAGGCGGTGGCTGCATCAACAACAAGTTCCGCTGCGACAGTTTCTATGACTGCCCTGCCGGTGATGACGAGTCTAGCTGCACGGAGTTTGATTAAACATCATTTTCTGGTTTTCTGCCTGGTTGTTTTACCTATCACTTCCCCCTTTCCTTCCACTGAATAGAGTCATTCACTTACCTCTGTATGCATTAATACGCTATCAGATACCTATGTAATAACCTGGTCCGGAGCTGTTGGCAAATATTTTATTACACTATCGCATTTATTTTCGGATTATTTGATATCACGGGTGGTATATATGTTCTGTGTGTATCCATACACGAACGTATATTCATAATAATTATAGTTATTCACGCGCCAGCAGAGCAGAGACAGAGAGAGAGAGGAGAGAGAGAGAGACCAATGTTATTATGTATATTGTATTCAATCACGTGTGTATTGTAAATTGTCTTAAAAAGCATCGTATACTCTAAGCCTATTCGTAAGGATATTTAGTACCATATCCATGAGTAAGAAATTATGATATATGTGACTGGGATTTCAACTGTGTGATGATGTTCCTACAATCGCACTTCACCTGAGAAACCTAAGTCAATAATAATGTAATTATAGCTAACGTATTATCCAAGTTTTAATTCGGGTAATTATTTTTGGAATCAACAGTGTTTATTTTTAATTGCTCTTCCTCTACTATCATAATAATTTATCAAGCATTTATGCTCGCTCCAGTTGAGTCACTTTTATTCACCGTCCATATGAGGGAGATTTCATCACGTGTTTGATTTCATAGATACTAGTTCGCTGCTACCGTATATGGATGAAAATATCTTTATTTAACCATATCCCCAATACCTTTATGTCGGGATATTATTTGATCGCCACGTGACTGCCAATATTCTTAATACTTCGCGTGTACCTACTTCCATATATTTTGTAGTTACACTCCATCCGTATTATTTTCGGGAGTTATATGGAGTCCACGTAGTAGAATTGATTGGCATCTGTCTTCCTTCTACCGTATGCATAATAGTAGGGTGTACTGACGCTATCGCAATGTTTAAAGTGGCATATTAATTTGAATTTCAAAGTGGTTCTATTATCTCATCTCTTCCTCTAACCGGTATTTACCTCAGATATTAGTTTACCCTATCAGTCGTCAAATTTAATTTTAGTGAAATAATTTGAATTACCGTGTCTTAATTTCCAGTCGATACTCTTGAACATCTAACACTAAAATTCAATAATTTTATTTACCTAATCCATTTATTTAGTATTAATATGATTCACGAGTGTTATTTTCTCAATTCTCTTTGTCCTCTACCTATTCATAATATTTATCCATTTATCCATTTATCCTTTTATTTACCTATCCATTTATTTGGTCACTTACTTGATTCACGTGTTTATTTCTTAATCTCTTCCTCCTTATTCATGTATCTATTTGCGGATCGACAAGCGCGAGTGCAGCGCCGGGTTCCACTGCAAGGAAGACATTTGCATTCCCGAAGTCTATCTCTGCGACGAGTTCGAGGACTGCCATCGCGGAGAGGACGAAATTGTGTGCGGTGAGTCATATGTGTGTGTGGTGTGTGTTGTGGTGTGTGTGTGTGTGTGTGTGTGTGTGTGTGTGTGTGTGTGTGTGTGTCTGTGTGTGCGTCTGTGTGTGTGCTGTGTGTGTTTGTGTGTGTGCGTGTGCGTGTGCGTGTGTGTGTGTGTGTGTGTGTGTGTGTGTGTGTGTGTGTGTGTGTGGTGTGTGTGTGTGTGTGTGTGTGTGTGTGTGTGTTGTGCGGTGTGTTGTGGTGTGTGTGTGTGTGTGTGCGTGTGTGTGTGTGTGTGTGTGTGTGTGTGTGTGTGCGTGTGTGTATTGACATATATATGTGTGTGTGTAACTAATATATGTAAATATGATATATAGATAGATACGGAGAGAGACAGGGAGTGATAAACCGATAGAAAGACAGGTAACAATCAGCATAAAGAATAGTTACGCGACCAGCTGGAACACTGAGGGGAATAAGAGTATACTAATCCCCCCCCCCCATCGCCCCCTGCCCCGCCCCCCCCTCAGACTGCCAGGACACGGACTTGTGTGCGGGAACGGGCACTGCATCCCCCCAGACTGGCACTGTGTGACGGCTACTATGACTGCTTCGGCGGTGATGACGAGATGAACTGCGGTGAGAAAGGACTTTTATTCTTGTTGTCGTTGTTCAGGTTATTATTGTTTATTATCAGCTTTCCTCTTTTTTTTTTCCTTTCTTGTATGTATGTCCTTTTTTTGGAATGATTGTATCACGATATTTTTTTCATCTAAGTTGTGTAAATTGATTTTTTCTTTTTTTTTCTGTTGATACGATCAATAGTGTTGCAGTTAAAATTATTAGGATTGCTATTATCTTTGTTTTCATCATCATCATCCTCCTCCTCTTCTTCTTCCTCCTCCTTTCCCCACTCCCCCTCACCTCCAACACCCTAACCCCCTCCTCTCCCCCTCCCACAGGCACCAGCGACGCCCCCTTGCCCTCCCACAACAAGGTCCGCACCCGCACGCGCGCTCAGACCAGCTTCCTCCGCAAGCTGGCCAAGACCCGTCGCCATTAAGAGGACTCCCAGCTACACCATCTAGCAAAAAACCGCTACATTGAACCTCTCTCAAGAAAGGAGAGAGAGAGAGAGAGAATGTGAGAGATAAAGAAAAAAGAGAGAAAAACTAACTTCCTCGAAAAAGGGAGAAATAATATACAAAGAAAGAGAGAAAACATTTTTTTTTTATTGGTCCATCGCCCGTTCGGTTCGTCTTTACATATTGTTATTTGGTCTCCATCTCGCAGAGTACCACGACACTGAACCACACCGAACCACACTGTATGACACATCTGAACCGTTCCCGAAAATCTGTGGGAATGTAAAGCGTCAGATTCCAGATTTTGACTGTCCAAAATTCGTTTTTTTTTTGTATTGTTTTGTTTTGTTTATTTGTTTTTACTCATTTTTATATTTCCTTTTATTCTCTACTATCTCTTTACAAAAATAAAAAAAAAACATGTACGAACTGCAATATGTTGTTTCAAGGTACTTTGGGAAACCAGGATCCAATTTTCAAACATGTATGAACAGTAATCATTTTATAATAACAAACATGTATAATAACAATAATGTATTAAAACATATATAATAAAACATGTATAAAAAGAAATAATAACAAACATGTATGAACAGTAATAATTTCAAACATGTATGAACAGTAATAATAATGTATGAACAGTAATAACAGTAATAATAATAACAGTAATAATCAGTTAATTGTCCATTTTTTCTTATATCACTTTAACCCTTAAACAACTAAGAAAAATAGTATTCGATTTTTATATCACATTACAGCTGATTCTCCTTTATATATATTACAATAACAAAAGACTAACGTATTTAAAGCCAAGATGCTGTGATTTTTTCCACTATTTCGTCTTGTTCAGTGATTGTTCAGATAGAATGTAGTTCCTGAGGATGAACGAAATACGAGTTCAGTTTTGAGCAAATGTCATTCAATATGTATTCAAATATTACGAACGGAAAGGCTCGAACTACAACACAGACCAAGTTATCCCGCTACGAATCCAAACGGGTAGAATCCAGAGGTAGTTAATGGTTAATGGTTAATGGTTAATGGTTGAGACAAGGAAATGTGCTAGACGTCATAGGCACCAGTAAGTGTTTCCATTTTATCCTCGCATCGTTTCGTGTTATGAATTATACATCTGGCAAACCATTTCACCGATTCATTACACTCTCTAATAATAATATTTAATGATAATAATAATAATAATAATAATAATAATAATAATAATATCTCTAATAATAATAATAATAATAATAATAATAATAATAATAATAGTGACAATGGCGACGGCCAATGACGTATCATTACGCCGTACATTGACGTCACACCAAATTTTTGTGTGTGTGTGTGTAAAATATATACACAATATATGTACATAAATATACATAATATACGTATATATATATATATATATATATATATATATATATATATATATATATATATGTGTGTGTGTGTGTGTGTGTGTGTGTGTGTGTGTGTACAATATGTATATACACACACATACACACACACACACACACACACACACACACATATATATATATATGTGTGTGTGTGTGTGTGTGTGTGTGTGTGTGTGGTGTGTGTGTGTGTGTGTGTGTATGTATGTATGTATGTATGTATGTATGTATGTATGTATATGTATATATATATATATATATATATATATATATATATATAATATATATATATACATATACACACATAAAATGATGTTTTCGTGCTATAGACCAATTCCTTGTTATCAGAAAACATATGACACAGTCACAATGACCGAGTTTTCAAGCAGCAAAAAAAAATCAATATGACGATGCACGTTACTATCAAACCTCGGATAAGGTGTTCAGTCTTTTGCAATAATATCAGTTTTGTTTTAAAGATAGTTTTACTTTTATTTATTATTATTATTATTTTATATCCTCATCCCTTTCTTATCATTCTCGTGTGTTATACAATGCTAGTATCATTACATGGATGCCATTCCTTATTCTTAAACTGTTTTTTTTCCCTTCAAATCTTTGATGGATTGAGGAGAGAATAGATTCACAAAAAATCCGTTATGACTGGCATCTTTATAATCGTCACATTATTTACTTTACAAAACTGAGGCATTTCCAATCCTCACACAAATGCAATCTACAAGATGATGATAAGGATTATTGTGATGATAATGGTAAGAGTTAGTAACAGCAATGGTGGTAATAGTGATAATAAGTAATATTAATGACGATGATGATAGTACCAGTAACAATGATCTTGATGGTAAAAGTAATAGTAACAGTACTGTTGATGATGACAGTAACAGAAATGTCAAAGTCAAAGTCAGAACAGTTTATTCCATTAATTACAATTGTGCTATTCAATTGATAATTGAGTCTTTGGAAACCCTAGTGATGCAGTGGCAGTACAGTGCTACACTATTTCTCCCAGAGGACAAAGTAAGTCTTACACCAATATTGCCAAGACTTGCTTCTGTAGACATGACCTCCCCCATGAAGTTTATATTGGATATCAGCTCCTTCCTCGTCATTGTTAGAAATGTTGGCGTTTCGGCCACCCAGCCAAACTGTCGCTCCACAGCCTGCTGCTTTCTATGTACCCAACCTGACCATGGCCATTCAAATTGCTGTATTTAGTCAAATGCCCGTGCTAAGTGTGGTGGCTCCCATAATGTATTTTATTTGAATTGCCCTGCCTAAAAACTCCAATGTGAGGTAGCAGTTTTCAAATTTAAACCAGGTCTCACTCTACATGAGGCCAGACAAGAAGCACGACGACAAGATTTTTCTCTCTCTACCTATTTCGAAGTTTTCCTTCGCTCTGCTCCAACCTCACCTCAAGTTGTCTCAGCATTTCTCCCATCATGTCTTCCCTCTACCTCAAACCATCCTACCTCTACCCCATCATGTCAGAGAACCTTTATTTCTCAGACCTCCCCACCCAACTCCCTTCCAGAAACTCTTGAAGACATCCAAAAATTCCTAGACATAACCCAAGAGAATGTTCCACTCCCTCACCCGCCTCCAATCCCTTTATGCCTATTCCCTCTACATTCAAAGTATTTGCCTATATCCATCCTCCTCTCCGTGAAGTTCCCCCTACCCCTCTTCCCCCCACTCTTTCCCAGCACATCCCATCCTCTCCTCCATGTGCACCATTCCCTCTTCGTTCCCTCATAATCCTTACCTCTCCCAGCTGGATGCTCACGTGAATCCCTCCTGTTGCAACATGGTCCCTCTCTGGGTCCCTCCCCTCCTGACATTCTTCCTGATACTTTACCAGCTTTTCCAATCCCCATTATCTCATTCCCCGGATTCTCCCCCTACTTCAACAACCATCACTACCAGCTGTAATAGAATATAAAAATCGAATACCACTTCTTTCTCATTTGTTTTGGGATTAAACTGATATCGAGTAAAAAAAAAATTACAAGTATCTGACAATCATAATTACTATTAATACATATTCGAAAATTGGATCCTAGTTTCACAAAGTAAAACAACATACTGTAGTTTATATATTTCATTTCTTTTTCTTTTTTGGAAGAAATAGTAAATATAAAAGGAGACATACAAAGAATGATAAAGAAAAAAAGAAAAAAAACGTATTTCGGACATTCAGTCTGGAATCTGACGCTTTACATTCCTACAGATTTTCGGGAATGGTTCAAATGTGTCATGCAGTGTGGTTCAGTGTAGCGGTACTTAGTGAGATGGAGACCAAGTAAGAGAATATGTAAGGACGAACCGAACGGGCGATGGGCTAATAAAAAAGGTTTTCTCTCTTTCTTTGTATATTATTTCTCCCTTTTTGGGGGAAGCTAGGTTCACTCTCTCTCTCTCTCTCTCTCTTTTCTCTCTCTCTCTCTCTCTCTCCTCTCTCTCTCTCTCTCTCTTCTCTCTCTTCTCTCTCTCTCTCTCTTCTCTCTCTCTCTCTCTCCACAGGTGGCTTGGGGACATCGCATCGTGGAGTGGAGTCGTTCTCTCGTCAGTCTTCTTTTCATCTCTCTCTCTCTCTCTCTCTCTCTCTCTCTCTCTCTCTCTCTCTCTCTCTCTCTCTCTCTCTCTCTCTCTCTCTCTCTCTCTCTCTCTCTCTCTCTCTCTCCCTCCTTTCTTGAGAGAGCTTCAATGTAGCGGTTCTTCGCTGGATGGAGACGGTGTAGCAGGACGTCTCCTTAATGGCGACGGATCTTGGCCAGCTTGCGGAGGAGCTTGGTCTGAGCGCGCGTGTGGGTCCTGATCTTGCTGTAGGAGACCATGGGGGCAACTCTGGCGCCTGTGGGAGGGGGCGAGGGGGTGGGGGGGTGTTGGAGGTGTGGCGGAGAGGTGGGAGGCGGAGGGCAGGGAGGGGGAGAGTGGGTGAGAAGGAAGATGAGGAGGAGGAAAAGGAAGAAGAGGGGGAGAAGGAAGAGGAGTAGGAGGAGGAAGACGATAATAAAAACAACGATAATAGCAATACTAATAACCTAAAAACGAAAGAAAAGAAAAGAAAACATAGTGAAAATTCATAAAAAAGAGTGAAATCCTAAAACAAAAAGAAACATAATATATATACAAGAAAAAAAAAATATAATAATAATAATAATGATAAACCTGACAATAATAACACGAAAAAGGTCTCTTCTCACCGCAGTTCAGCTCGTCATCGCCGCCGAAGCAGTCGGTGATGCGTCACAGTGCCACTCGTCCGGGATGCAGTGCCCGTTGGAGCACAAGTAGTCCGTGTCCTCGCAGTCTGAGGGGGCGGGGCCGAGGGGCGGGGCGAAGGGAGGGATTTTAGATTAGTGTACTACCACGCCTACTCATTCATTTAGCCTTTCACACATACACACACACACAGATATCTATCTATCTATCTATCTATATATATATATATATATATATATATATATATATATATATATATATATATATATATATATATTGCGTGTGTGTGAATTTATAGATATATACAAATACACACACACACACGCACACACATATATGTATATATATATATATATATATATATATATATATATATATATATATATATATATATATATATATAATATGTATGTATGTATGCATGCATATATAATACATACATACATACATATGTATATATATATATATATATATATATATATATATATATATATATATATATTTAAACATATACGTTCATACAAATAGCTAGATAGATAAATAATCAGATAAACAGACAGACTGATGGATATACTGCACAGATCAGGTTCACCATCACCTACGCAGGAGACTCACCGCACTTGCTCTCGTCTTCCCCGCGTTCGCAGTCCTCGATGTCGTCGCAGATGTAGGATTCTTGAATGCAGATGTCGTTCTGGCAGTGGAAGCCGGAGGTGCACTCAGCTGTCGATCGCAATAGATAGATACATGGAAATAAATATAGGAATATAATAATAAGGAAAAAAAATGATAAGTGAAAAGAATGTTTTTATATACAGGTTATTAGATATCTAGGTGTTTGATAATGTAATGGTGCATATGAAGGTAAGTGCATATGGCATACTGCATATCATAATGTATTATGCTAGCTCACATCCCACCGCTGCCACCACTATAAAAGGTTAACGTACATTGATACTTGTGAAGCAGAGTAATAATCTTGAAACGGCCGCCTCTTTATTAGTAAGAGTTTATACACGAGTAGAATAGAACACGATACAACTGGTCAGTGCTGGGTGGATCCGTGGCCAGCCCGGCGTGGCGAGGTGTTGGCGCGGTCAGCGGAGAGGTTGGGTTGCTCTCGGAGAGAGCAAGTTAGAATGATAGAGGTCATGCTGGGTTGCCTTATATCTGACCAGACGGTGGCTGCCACGTGGAGCATATACTTAGAATCTCCCCACGAAGGTCCATGCCAGAACAAGAAACATGCAGCCCACATGCAAACCAGCACGTATCCTATATTGCTCGGCCACCTACTCACGCCTCGCCCTAGAGGCATCATTTGACCCATTTGATGATGATTTGACTCAAGGGTGACCCATCATCGGACCCGATCTGCTTGTCATCTTGTTTTCGCGTTCTTGTCCTAGATCGTCCTTGTATTTCTCCTCCTTGTCAGCCTCTTCTTCTTGGTCCTTGGTGGATTCCCCGGTCCTCGACGTCCACACGTCCTCAAAGGCTTAGGTCCTCCTCGACTTCGGATCGTCCAGACTTCCCCGTGGTCCTCGTCCAGATGTTATTCGGCGGCTTACTCATCCACATGTCCTCGCAGATCTCGTCC